TGGGACAGGGCTTTTTATGAGGCAGCCACCTGTCCCTGTGGCACTACCTCATGCTACTCGAATCAGCTACTGTATCCCCAGCTGTAAAGAAGTATTAATTAAAATTATTTATTGCTCAATACTGATTTATCCTGTTTTGAGTATATTTGAGAAAATAATATTTTTTTCCTTATCACTTCATCAGTGGGCTTGCATTTCAAGGGACTGTACCCACTGATGTCACTGGGATCAGAACAGAGTATGTGGATTTTAACTTTGGATGGCGGATTTATTTGTACCTCTGATAACTGAACTGAGGAGTGCTCTGGCTCTAAGCCAGATCTCTCAGTAATCAGTATTTTTTCCAATCCTTGGGAAATGGCTTCTCCAGTGTATTGTGTGTGTTCTTTTGACATCTTAATGCAGTTTCCAGGTCACTGAGCTAAGAAAGGACTGTAGGTACCACTGAAGTTGAAGGAGAACCGTGTCTCCTTAAAGGAGAGGCCGCCACAGGCTGGGCCAGGTTGGTGGTACTTAATCAATTACTGTCATGTACCGTCTGCGTGCTGTGCCAGATCATTTAAAAATGAAGAGATGATGTTAGCTCTCATCTTTCTGCAGGAGTTTGCGTGCTCCTGCTTTCAGGCTACCTGTGATGAATAGAGGACGTGCTCATGGGTCTATCAGCTATTGCCCATCTGCACTGGAGAGCCGGAGGGGCTCTCCATCAGGTCTGGGCCCTTGGGCAGGGGTAGGTCGTGATGTTTCGGGGCTTTATAAAGGTTGAAGGGTGAAAGCAGAACAAGGAAGTGAAGATGTCTTGATGTGCAGGTGGGGATTGATCTCGACTTTACCACCCTGGAGAAGCTGATTCATGAGCTGCCATGGAGGCTGCATGGTCCCACAATGCAGGTGGGAGTTGATCTCAACTTTACCACCCTGGAGAAGCTGATTCACGAGCTGCCATGGAGGCTGCATGGTCCCACAGCTCCAGCCTGAGCAGCTCCTCTCCCCAGTGCTGCGCCGGAGCTGGCTGCACCCGAGAGGGGCACGGGCAGGAGAGCTGCAGCGCTCCCCTGGCTGCGTTGCTGGATTCATACGGGGGAATCCCAGCCCTAGTTAGGAGGGGCTGAGCTTCCCCTGCGTGGATACAGGATACCTGAAAAAGCCCTGTAAGTTTACTTCAGCAAACTAATCCACAAAGACTAAGAGATGTTTGAAGCGCCCTGTCCCTTAGCACGCTGCCAGTTCCCCAAAGGGACGGCGCAGGGTCAGGGCCGGGAGGGGCTCTCGGAGCCCCAAGCCCCTGCTCTCCTCTGCCCTGTGTGGAGCAGAAATCCATGGGCTGGGTGGAACAATGAGGAACTGAGCTCTGGCCAAGCCAAACATGCAGAAAATACTCTCCAAAATTCCTCTTCCTGCCCTCTCATCCCTCTGTTCTGGGTTCTCCTCTGCAGCCTGCCTGTGAAGGAGTGCTGCTGCCAGCGGGAGAGGCCTGAGTCCTTCTCTGGGGAGAGGGAGTGGAGCCTGGCCTCTGCCACCTGCAAACCTCAACACTTGTCTTTTCTGCCAGCAGATTAAGTTGAACACTTGGCACCTGTCAGATTCAGTGGATCAACAGCTGGCGGTGGATGTGTCACCTGCTTGTCTTCAGAGGAGAGGCTCTGGGACAGGGGTGCCACCCCACCTGGGTGCCACAGGGTCCCCGTGCCACCTGGCATGCCACTGTCCTCCAGGAGACAAAGCCACCTGGTGAGAGTGACAGGCTGGCGGTACACACAGCTCCTCTCTGACATCCAGGAATGATCCTTGCTGAGGTGCAAAAGCAGGTTGTTCCCCCTAGCTCCTCAGGGGCTGAGCCTGAACCTCAAGGGCCATTGTCACCCCGTGCTCTGCCTGCACCCGCTGTCCCGAGGCAGGTGGCAACAGCCCGCAAGAGCTGCACAGGCGGCAGCGGCTGCTCCGCGGGCACTGGCGGTGGGATGCAGGCGGTGTAGCTGGAGACAGGCAGCTCTGGCTGGCTGGAGCCATGGAGAGGTCGGAGGGAGGTGGGCTGCAGGACGGCAGGCAGCTGTCTGCATCACGGGGAGCCTTGGCAGCTGCCCGCACTCGCCAGTTGTGCCAGGGGCCAGATGGAGTAGGTGGGCACGGAGGAGGAGGGCCCCACCGCCACTCCTCTGCCGCAGCTCTGCAGGGTGCAGGCACGGGTGGCCCTGCGCGATTGCTCTCTGGTGGGTGAGGGAGTGCTGTGCCTGTCCTTTCTGTTTTCTCAGAAAAAGACGTGCAAAAATGAATGCAGAGGCCAGGATAAATTCTGCAAGCAGAAATCCTTGTGAAATGCCCACTGGGCCTGTCAGAAGCTTCATTTAAACACGGGCTCGCTGTGGTCACCTGGGTAGCTTCAGTACAGTTGCAGGGTTTATACCATTCTTCAAAGCTAAGCACATTGGAGATACTTTTCTGAGCCAAGATCTGTCGCTTGCCTCTCTCCCTGTCCCCTGCGGGCTCTGGCAGGGTACCAAATAGCTTTGTTCTCTAGCTGCTGGTGGCTGTCCTCTCTACCGCTGGGTGGCTGGCCCGCACCGCTCCAGGGATGTTTCCTGCTCTCCCGCTTTCCAGCCAAAGCAGTTCAGCTCCCTGCACTCCAGAAGGCTGTGCAGCACAGCCACGGGTGTGTGTGGGTGCAGGCAAACCATCCGGCTGCTCCTGGTTCTCCTCACTGCTGTGGGAAGTCCCAAGTTTCAGGACCCAGCTACATGACTCATTTGTGCTGCAGGACCCAGGATGTTTGCAGCCCGGTTCGTGCTGTGTGAGGTTGCAGTGCTCCACATCCACAGCTGGATAAGCTCGGCCAAGTCATGAAAGGGCATGCCGGTAAAACACGGAGACAAAGTTGTGTTCAGGACCTGTTTGCTTACACGGGTTGCATGCTCTGGTGTGAGCTTCACCATAGAATTCATGTTCATGAGTGCCGTGTCTGGGGAAGGAGAGGTCGCAGCTCCTTTCCTGGCTGCATCTCCTGGTTCCTGTGGAAGTGCTCTGGTTTCAGAAGGTCTTCAGCTACAGCCTGTGTTAGTGTTCGGCATGCTCTTATCTGGTGTCTTTTCAGTTACTGTTCAGTCCTGGTTGTTTAAACCCTGAGGTGAAAAACAAACTATTCTTTTGTTTGCCTGTCCCTCTGCTTTGTTGCTTCCCCTCTCAGATCACTGATGCAGGAGTCGGTGGAGCCTCTGCTGGCATCTCCCAGGGATGGAGCGTGCTGCACGGCGCGGTGCAGCGGGACAAAGCCTCCATCTCCTGGCGGCAGAGCCGTATGGCAGCCAGGAGCCGGGCTCTGTCTGCTGGAGTTCTCCCAGAGAGGAGGCAGAAAGCTTGACGAGGAAGCAGAGCAAAGCCTTGCTGTGTATATTGTTCCCTGCAAGGCTCAGCCCCTCCGGCTGCGGTGGAGCTCAGTGTTTATCCACGGGCGTCTCAGGGCTTGTTCTGGCTGCTGAGGCAGGGAAGCACTCTCCATTTGGGTTCGCTCTCTGAGACCTATAAATTTTTATCTTGGTCCTGAAGAAGGTTCTCACGAGGTTATTTTAATGCATTGCTGCCTGATGAAGACCCAGCACCATCCAGCATCTATTTTCAAGGCTGACTGGAAGTGAGGTGCTGCTGCGCAGGCACTTTCAGGGGAGGGAAGCTTAGGGGTTTTCTCTCAACCGCTGATAATGGGCTCAGCTTGTTCACACTCTCCTAAGGGTACCTCAGAACTGAATCTTTCTGGAGTGCCCCAGGAGAAACTTAAAAGACCATGTTCAAAGTATTGTTCACAAGTAATAAGAAGGTTGGGTCAGTTCTCAGCATTGCAGCAGGGATTTTTTCATGTCAGGATTTGCCCCTTCCATCTCTTTTCCTGCTTTGGGCTCCTTGTGAGTGCCGAGTACCTGGGACCAAGGGAGACTTGCATGCAGGCACTTACGTTTATTTTTTAAAATGGTTTTAAAAGAATGACAAGGGAATTGCAAATTGATCTGAGCAAAGATGGAAAAAGACCACAAAGGAAAAGACACTTTATCAATAAGACAGGGGAGCCCTGAGCTCTGTCAGGTTGTTATTCATCCCTCAGCTTGCACTGACAGCCCCTTGCCCGCGGCAGTCAGAGGGGGACACTGACCCATGGCTGACGGTCCGGGGGGGGCTTTGATGTGCTGCAGAGGCTGCAGCCCTGCTCTCTGGGCTCAGCATCTGCACCGGCTTTGCGCTTATGGGACCAGGGTGCTTTAATTAAAGGTGGCAAAGCCACCTCCTGAGTCACCTCTGCACAGCACCAGCTGCACGTGCAGTGCCTGTGAGCCGCTGGCAAGGTGCGCGTTGTCCCCCTTCACTGGCTGCCTGCAGCTCCTGACGTGCTTCCAGAGAGCAATCACTTCCCCATGTCGAGTGCTCTCAGTTGCCTGTATTTTTTGAATTGTTCACGTCTTCCCCCAACATCACTCTCCTTTCCAAAGATGCCAGCTGAGAACTTTCCATGCCCAGGCCCCTGCTGTGCATCCCCCCGGGAAGCCGGAGATGCAGTTTGTGGTGGGACATCTGCATCTGCCGGGCAGGGACAACAAACCCTTCCTGCAGAAAGGACACAGTGGTGGCACTGATTGCAGAGGCTCCAGGGGCACACGTGCACCATGTGTCGGGGTCACAGTTACAGCTGGTGGACAGCCCCGGCTGTCCTTGTGGCCAGCAGACCTGGCTGGAAGGTCTCACATACAGGTTTTTCCCAGAACCCTGGGTTCAAGCACAGCCCAAGGGACCAGCAGCTGCCTCAGAGGTCCTGTCCCTGCGACAGGGGTGACACCTAAGGAAGGGTGGGGGGAAGGAGAGGCAGTGCGAGGGGAAGTGGCTTTCCCAGGGTCACATCCCCAAGGGAGCCCTGCTGCCTTTCAGATCGCACCAAGCTCCTGCACCCCAGGGAAGGGGGGAATTTTCTCACGTGCCCCCCTGACCAGCCTGCGTGCCTGACTCCCCTCTCTCTCCCACAGGTGTCTCTCAGCCAGGAGTGCACTCGCGCCATCATGAAGCTGACATACTGCCCACACTGCCAGGGCATGGCCAGCGTGAAGCCATGCAACAACTACTGCCTGAACGTCGTGAAGGGCTGCCTGGCCAACCAAGCGGACCTGAGCACCGAGTGGAAGTACCTGATGGGTAAGATGGCCTGCCTCTGCTGCAGCACAGCTGCCTCTCACGGCACCTTTTGAACCCTCTGAGGCAGTGTTTGGCGAGTGAAGAAAGGACTGTCGGAGGCTCTTTTACACTACAGTTTCTCTGTCTGTGATCTGATGCCTAGAAGCTATTGCAGGACATTTTTCTGGGCGTTAATACTGTTAGAGAGGACACTGCTGGTTTGGCTAACAAGGGCTTAAAGAGTTTTCATCTTGCCTGTGGTCATTTGGGATTGTCCACACTTTGCATTCAAGTAATTTTTCCTTCCCTCCCAAGTGTTGAAGCTTAGAGACAGATCCTGCCACCTGTACACTGTCAGAGCAGCCTCCTCATCCAGCCCAGAGCTCTTGTGACAGCACAGGAGGAGCCCGTGCTGCCCTTCTTGGGAGGTAGTCTAGAGACATGAAGCCATAAACTGTTTCCATGGGTGGAGAGCAAAGGGATCAGAATCACATCCTTCTAAACTGTCTTAAAGAAATACATGGGGAGGGGGAAGTTGCAGGCATCACCAGGAATGGGAAGTGTATTTTAAGTAAGAAAAGAGCTAATTTCGTTCTTGTTTTGTCACTCAGCTAAGATGATGGATATTTTAAAGTGGCTTGTATGTGTATAAAGGTGGCCATTTTTTGAGTTTAACGCCAGAAATATTGCTGTGATGGTGTGGTCTGATCTCCTGTGCAATGCAGGCTGGAGAACTTCAACCGGACGTTTCGACAGGAAATCCTGCATTGCCTGATCAGACCCAGGCATCTCTTTTAAGCAGACCTCAGGTGTCACTCAGCTGTTTTTCCAGAGCTTGTGGCTGCTGGTTTAAATGTGAACTACCGCTGAGAGTGGCTTGTGGAGCTGATGGACATGGTTTGAGGCTGGTGAGGGTCTGTGTTTAGAAACGGTGTCTTTGTGTCACAGCACATGTCCTCTCCCCAGCTGCACTCCATCAGGGGAGGTTTTTTGCAGTGGTAAAGATCTCACTCCTGCTGTGCCCCCAGAGCATCACCCAGCAAGCTCCTCGTTCTCTCCCAGGTTGTACTTTTAGACCTGGAGTGATCTGAGACCTGGGAGAGCCTTGATGTTTGTCTGGGCTCACCAAAGGCAGGCGCCAGAGGAGATGAGCTTTATGCTTGGCCTTTTCCTTTGCCTTGGCAGCCGCTGCATGGCCAGCAGGACAGCCAGCTCGCTAGCCAGCTGCAGCCCAGCAGGCGGGCTCAAGGTTGATGTGTGTGGGGTTAACAGTTACAACCCCACTGAAGCTCAAGGAGTGTCATCTGCCTCTCAAGGGACATTGCAAAATAAATATCGAACCGCTGCACGTGGAAGCCGGCACACTTGCTCAGTGAGGTGTGTTGGCTGGCTGCCCGCCGCACTCTGGGGGCTAACAAACCAAGTGGCAGCTTACCGCAGCTAATTGGAAGCGCTCCCCATGAGAGTGACCTAGGAGGCTGCTGCGAAAGAGGTGGAGGAGCACTCCCTTCCCCGAGGGTTTACAGCAGGACTTTGATGGCGCTTTGGCCTTTCCGACCAGAGCAAGTCAACTGTCACCTGTCACTGCTCTCCTGGCAGGATGACTGCCCGTCTCCTGAAAGGTCAACATACAGCTCTCCGTGATTGACAGGAAGAAAAATCTGAGTGCATTTTGACTTATTCTGGCTTCCTCTTCCTCAAGAGACACTGTCAAGGAGTGATGGCCAGGAGGAGATTGGAGCTTCTCTCAAACTGCAGTTGCACATTTCGGTCTCAGAGGTCACAATTTAATCAAGGACTGCAGCTAGACATAGATTCAAAGGTGGCAGTTCACTGGCATTGTCCATTCTTCACCCTTCTCCAGGCCTTTCTATTTAGCAGGAGAGGATTTTGTTTAAACACAGAGTTACTCTTCCAATTTGACAAATTAGGGCAGGTCAAATTAAAGGGAGATTTTTATAGTAAGTGATTCAAACATAATTTATCACTAATTTGGGGGTGCAGCCTTTGATTTAAATGTCTGCATCTCAACCTTACTGCCTCTGCAAGCTAAAATTGTCTGCAAAATACAGTCTTGAGATGACACCACAGCCCCTGCATGGCAGCAAAGTTAAACTGCAAGCTCTTTAATGTTGCAGGAGATGTTATTTCCCAGAATACAAAAAAACATTACCCCCTTGTATGGCATGTTTAGCATTAGAAATCAGCACTGCCATAGGACTGTGTTGTAGGAAAAGAGCACGTTAACTTGGAAACTGTGGCCCTTGTTTCTGTTCTCGCTCAGGCTAACCAGCAGAACCTTTTTTCTTTTTTTTAAGTGCTGAAAATAAATCCATAATGTTTCCCAGCTGTGACTTTGTATATTGTTAAATGCTATATGATAGACCTGAGCAAAGAGTATTTTGTGATCCGTGCTGCAGACTGGCTGAGGTTAGAGCCCTCCCAGTGCTTTGACTGTTGCCGTTGCTCCCCACAGGCTGGATCTGCTTTGGGACTGTCAGCCCTGTGGGCACAGCGTGGTATCCTCTGTGGATTTGTGCTGTCCCTCATCTAGTCTTTGCCCAGCTTGGTCATTCTCTGAGAGCTGCCAGGGTCTGAGCATCAACCATGAAACAGCAGAGAGAACGGACTTGCGAGGGCTGAGCGTGCTGTTAAATTTACAACAGCGGGCTCAGGATCAGACCTTGGTTATTAACACACGGTGTCCCCCGTGGACCTAGTGTTTCTGCACAAACCTCACCTAGGCCTCATGGAAGTCATCTGGGGTCTTTCTGCTGCATCCTGCTGGCTTGCCCAGGCCAGGGACTGAACGCTTTGCTAGCAGGTTTGGAATGGCAGTGGTCTGTGGTTGTGCCCCAGCTGGCTGGATTGCTGCTTGCAGGAAATGTGTTGTGTGGCCCAAAGTGTCAGTCCTTTAAAGAGTAATCACAGGGGACACATACACACCGTGGGACAGTGTAGGTTGAAGGACATGTTTCACAGATACGCTGTTGAACCTCCGGTGTAACTCAACTGGTGGTTTTGTTGCTCATGAATAACGTTGGCAGTACAAACTCACGCTGAATAAGCTTTTCTGCAACATCACACCATCTGCTGTGACAGTCTCCTGCCAGGCTGATGGGTGAGGTATCAGGATTTAGGACAGAAGAATTAATCACTGCCAATGAATAACTCCATTTACGAATGGTAGAGATCTCCAACCTAGACACTGGGATGTGACCCTCTTTGTGTAGAGAAGAACTGACACGAAGCCATCGTGCTTGTTTTCTTCCATGTGGTGAGGCCACTGGAACATGAAGCACTTTCTGTTTCAGATCAGTGCCGGCCACCCCAGCAGTCTGACAGATCCTTTCTCCTGCCAGGAGGTTTCTGGTTTTCCCTGGGGGACACGGACCACACTGCAACCATCGGAGGTCACATGTAACTGAACACCAAGTCCCTAAGTGCCGAAGAAGCTCATGCATGGCCTGGCCTCTGGGCTGCTTAAGCACAGGTGGTAGGAAACTGAGGCAGCAGCAGCATAGCAGTGACTTTCAGAATTAGAATTTTTGACTGGCAAAGTCAGACCTAGTTAAGATCCCATTTCAGATGTCCAAACCCAGTTTTGGCCCTGCACTGAGATCCTATTTAAATCTCGCTGGGCACCAAGGCTGTCAGCTTTCCCCTGCGGTGGCATTCCCCGGTGCCCCAAGCCCTGCAAGCATAGAGGCTGTCCTTGCTTCAAACCCAGCTGGGGTGTTGAGAATCACCTCTGGAGGTAGGCAGAGGTTGGTAATTTTTTTGTAAGCCAAACACAGTCCTAGAGCAGCCATCCAGGCAGGAGCACTTGGACATTAGAGCTTTCCAAGATCAGAGGAGCAGAGAGCAGGAGGCACCCTTCAGTCACTCCCTGGCCTATTTACCAGTTTAGTTGTGGGCATTTTGGTCTGCTTCTCTGCCTCTGTAGCCTGATATTTCCCTGGCTGGTCACGCGTTGTCCTTCCAGAGGTGATGGTGAGAAGAATTACTTCCTTTTCTCACTCCTTCACTGCCACAGAATCTATTGCCCATGTCCGGTACCTTTGACGCTTTGTTGACCCCAATTCTCCCACTGCCTGCTGGCTGCTGTGCTCTGCTGAAGACATGCAAGGCGTTAGGAGGGTTAGGGACAAGTATTGCTATGCATTACTTAATATTTCTGCACCAATTTTCCATTTTTACTTTCTGAAGCATCCCAGATGATGTTGGTCACTTTGTGTGAATACAGGTTGCATTTACCACTTGGAGGAAGTGATCTCTGTTCCTCTGCCACTGGGGGTGGCTTTACTTATGTGCTGCGACGGACAGCTGTCCCTTGCCAGAGGAAAATAATCATGCACTTGAGCAGTAGTGAAAATGGAGAGCTGTCTCCCAGCAGTCTGCCAAGGGGTGGACAGCTTATCCCACCCAGCATGGGCGTGATCTTTAACTTGGTTTGTGCAGAGTCTGACGAGAGATGTCTCTGTCTTGTTTTACTAGATTCCCTGATCGTGGTGGCTGATCGGATTGATGGACCATACAACGTAGACACTGTAATAGGGACCATTCACATGAGGATTGCTGAAGCTATTTCTAACTTGCAAGAAAACAAAGATTCCATCACAGCCAAGGTAAGAGCGTGTGCCTGGGCCTGGCGGAGCACACGCCGTGTGTAAGTGCCAGGGCCAAATGGGTTTTGTGTGCACTATTCAGCTGAACTAAAGGACATGAAGGATGAAAGAGTTCAAATGCCCGCTTTTCTGTGATAGGAAACCACCCGTCTTACACGGGCAAAAACCTTCTCAAGTGTTTCCAAATATTCCTCTCTGCCACATCCAGCCAGCCTCCTTTATGTACAGACACACACGGTGGCACTGCACATGCCGTGGCTGTGGGAGGCGTGCTGCCATTTGCTGTCAGGTGGCTCTGTGTCTGACGAGCCCTGAAGTATTTTCGCTGAGCTGAGGCTTTTACACAAAGTCCATAGATCCTAGTGACAGAAGGCAGCTGCTCTAACCTGCCTGCGGGGGATGTTCTGCAGTGGAAACACGAAGCTATCAGGTTGTGTCTATGGGACAGAGCGGCAATCTGGCATCCATCTGGAGAGTATGAAACAGGCTCTCCTCATGCTCGCATGTCTTACAAGAAATATATCATGAAGCTCTCTCCTATTGGTCATCTATTTTTAGTGTATTTATCCACTTAACCGCAACCCCTCTGTAGCTGCAGGTAAGAGAAGCTTTGGGAACAAAAACAGCCCTCCAGGGCTTCTGCTTTTTGCCCAGACATTCCCCAAATCCTGCAGCTATCCCACAGTGAGAGCAGAGATGCAGATGAAAAGAGTGGGACAGGTCCTAACTAGGTCTTGGAGAAGGGAAGGGCCAAAAGTATTGCTTAGCCAAGCAGGAATTCACTGGCACACATCAAAGCACTGACAGCAGCATGCATCCAAGTACGTATTTAGGTTTCTCTTCTGACATGAAAGGCCATATACTTTCTTCCCTCGTTAGGTGGGACCGAGGTGGTCCACATGAAAGCAAGCCCATGGTGTGGGAAAACATGGTATATCATCTGCAAAGAAAGGTGTTTCCAAGGGGCATACAGTAAATCTGGTAAAATTAAAAAGAGTAAATCGTCTAATTGGTGTCTGACTGGAGCAACCAAACATGTTTGATAAGCTTCTCAGTAGGATCTGGTGACCAGGTGAATGTGGCAGTCTTTGCTGGTGGCACTGGCAGCAGAGATCAGGAGCTCCAAATTGCTGCAGCTCTAAGCTCTGGTTTGGAGCACGGCAAAGTGATCAGGTAAAGGACATCGCTGTCAGATGAGCTCAGGACTGGCCCAGGCCCTGCGGCTCTCTGATGGGTTTCAGGCTGCAGGAGCCATCAAAGGCTGCAAACATCTATTTGCTCTCGTGATGCCAGTGACTGTTGGTCACCTCAGTCTGCAGAACATGTGTTCTCTCCTTCAGTAAAACGGGTGTTGCGCACCTAAAGCCCTTGGGCTGGCAGGAGGATCACCTTGATGCTGTGCTGTGCTGGAGCTGCTACAAGAGCCAGTGTCCTGGGAGACCTGCCAGGGTCTTCACCTCCTGAAAGAGTTGTCTCCAGCTAACCACAGTCATAGGCCAATGAGGAAGATACAGCAGTGAAGCCAAACTGGTTTTATGTTAGTAGAACCAAGCTGAAAATGCTCTACATACAGTTTTCAAGATGAGGCTTTTTGCACGGAGCAAAGGAAACAGATCGTAGAATCATAGAATCATAGAATCATTAAGGTTGGAAAAGACCTCAAGGATCATCAAGTCCAACCCAACACCACCTAACTCACTAAACCATGTCCCTAAGCACCACATCTACACGTTTCTTGAACACCTCCAGGGATGGTGACTCAACCACCTCCCT